CATGATTTTTAAGGAGCTAATTAGTTTTTGACACGCGAATATTTTTTGAAAATCCAAACGAAAACTGAAAACATGAACATTTTTTCAGATGTTAATGTTTTTTAAATACGAACATTTTTTGAATCTATGAACAATTTTTGAAAATACGAACAAGTTTTCGAAACTCCAAACAAAAATTGAAAAAATGAACAAAATTTGAAAATACGAACATTTTTGAATCTATGAACAATTTTCAAAATACGAACAACTTTTTTGAAAAGAAACAAATTGTTGACAAATGATTTTTTTTCTAAAAATACGAATATTTTTTAAAATTAACGAACATTTCTAAATTCGTGAAAATAAATTGAAAATGGGAACATTTTTTAAATTCTCAAACACTTTGCGAATATTTTTTGAAGTTGTGAACAATTTTTGAAAAAATGAGAACAATGTTTGATTTGGAACAGTTTTTTGAAACGATGAACAATTTTCAAAAACAAGAAATATTTTTGAATTTCGAACAATACTTGAGTTCTCAACCTTATTTTGAAATAAAGAGCAAAAGGAAAAGGAAATGAAAACGAAACAAATAAAACAGAAAAAAGAAACTGAAAAAAAGAAACAGAAACAGAAAATAAAAACCCCGCTTAAGGAACCTTCTAGAAACGGATAAAAACCGGCTGGAAAACTTCTAGAAAATTCCCAAGACCGGAACTTCCTGCAGCGGGATTTGGGCCGGCCCACTTTATCGCGCCCCTGTGCGATTGGTCGACTATTTGACGTAGAGAGCGTCAAATAGGGTTTTCCCTCCGCGTGCACAGCTTGCAGCAGGAATCCGACTCGGCACACGCCTAGAGTCATCAAATCAATGTTAGAAATAAATGGGCTAGGCCCATAACAATTTCTTAAATCTCAAATAGTGGCACATGAATAAAATAGCAAGTGATGACTCTATGTTTAGTTCCACCCTAAAAGTTGAGGAGGAGTTGGACCTCTTTATATAGTGTGTTCTCACACCACACTTAATGAGGTGTGAAGCAGAGAAAGAGAAGGCTGCGTGCGCGCGCTCGCCTCGCCTGGCCGGGGCCAGGGCAGCGCGTACGTGCGACACGCACAAGAATGGTCCGTCGAAATCCGGTCCGCTGCCTTGCAGGGGCGCAACTTTCTTTTGCCATTTTATTTTTTGGTGTTTTACGAACAAGTTCATTGTTTTCTTGTTCGGTAAGTTCAACTTGAAAATCAAGTCAGTTTGAGATCATGGTCGCGATATGATACCGCTTCTAGTTCTCCTATATATACTGCTTACCAGCCTCGGCCAAATACACACCGGAAACACCTAGGGTTTTGCCTCATCTCACAACTTATACCGTAACCGTAGTCTACTCTATCCCGAACGCCGGCATGCATCTGCGTACGGGAGAGCAGGTCTCCGGAACCGTCTATCCTTGTGATCCTGCACCGGGAGAAGACGAATTAGGTATGTCGGAAGCACTTTGTGCAACTGCTCAATTTTGTCAGCACGGGTCGTCTTTCATCCAAGTCGGGTGGTGCTACTGCTCATCGTCTCCTTCGCCGTCAACAATAGATCGTCGCCAACATCGTCGCTCCTAAAGGAACTAACAAATAGTACGTCCTTCGTGTTTTGTTGATGTCTTTTTCTGTAGTTGCTACTTCGCATGCGATTAGTGTGCATGTTTTGCCGTTCATTTAGTTTCCTAGATTGTTGCATGCTAGCCTTTGTTATAGTCATAAATTATTTACTGGAATTAATCATGAACTTGCCTAATATTCTAACAATTCAAAAACGTAATTGTAGGCAATTTCCCGAGTTAATTATGGCTGGATTCACTGATGCACTCAGGCCGGATAAGTTTACCGGTGTACACTTTAAAGAGGTGGCAGCTAAAGACCATGCTCTGGCTTACTGCTCAGAAAGTGTTCCACGTTAGTGTTGGTGCTCCAGAAGGAATGTCTGAGGAAGATCAGAGAAAATTCCAGGAGGTCAATACTATGTTTGTGGGATGCATTCTGAGTGTTCTTGCTGACCTCTATGTGATGTGCACATGCACATATAAAATGGAAAGACACTATGGGATGCATTGAATGCTAAATTCGGTGCAAGAGATGCAGATAGTGAACAATACATCATGAAGAATTTCCACGACTAAAGATGGTCAATAAATGTTCTGTGGTTGAATAGGCTCATGAGATATAGTGCATTGTGAAGGTTCTGGAACTCCTTATGTGTGTTCTACCTGATAAATTTGTGGCCTGGTGCATGATTGCAAAGCAGCCTCCTTCATAGAGGAATTTTGGCACAACTTTGAAACATAAGAGGTAGGAGATATTAGTCGAAAATCTATCTGTGTCTCTTGATGTTGAAGAGAAATCTCGGGCTAAAGAAACTACTGAGAAAGGAGGTGAGGTTCAGCCTACCATCAATATGGTGCAGAGGTACCCACAGAATAAGCACAAAGGGAAGAACAAACATGTTTTCAATAAGCCTGCAAAGACTACTACCTTCAAAAAAAAAGAAGTTCAATATGGCTGAGCTAGAGTGCTATTTTTTTGGTATTTCGTGTTTCATATCCATAACTAAAACTAAAGATATAAAACAACTTAGAACAGAAAATAAATTCTGCTTAGAGATAAAGCCAACAACCGCACACGAGAATATTTAGCCCATGCTATTGCTCCCTGGCAACGACGTCAGAAAAAAGTCTTGATAACCCACAAGTATAGGAGTCGTTTGTAGTCTTTTTCGATAAGTAAGAGTGTCAAACCTAACTAGGAGCTAAAAGTAGGATTAATATTCTCTTCAAATTCTATCGACCACCGATACAACCCTATGCACATTTAACGTTTGCTTTACCTAGAACAAAAATAAAACTACTTTGTAGGTGTAATAAGGTAAGTTTGCAAGAATAAAACTAGAAGTACTTTGCTAAATAATACTAAAAGTTATTTTGTCTTACTAGAGAGCTTTTTGTAACATATAGAGAAATGTTGTTCATAGGCAATTGAATATAATACAATTGATAATTATCATATGCAATGAGTGAGAGGCATACGCTAACATATTTTCCATAATTGGACCACATGCACTTGTGATTGGAACTCTCGCAAGCATCTGCAACTACTAAAGATCATTAAGGTAAAACCCAACCATAGCATTAATGAATAAGTCATCTTTACTCCCATACGCAACAACCCCTTACTCGAGTTTAAACTTCTGTCACTCTCGCAACCCACTATAAGTGAATTATGAACATATTGCAACACCCTACAACGGTAATCCCACATGCTTGCGCGACATGGAGGGCACCATAAGACAACACCATATGAACATACAACTAATATCAATCACACGATACCACAATTAACCAGTAGGACAAAAAGGATTTACTCAAACATGATAGGATGCCAACACATCATTGGATAATAATATGTATCATAAAACACCATGCATAAGTAGTGATTACAGTGAGTAAAAGAAGTGTTAAACCGCTGCATGAAGGGGGGGGGGGAGAATTGGTGATGACGGCGACAAAGATGTTAGTCTAGACCGCCATCACGACGATTCCCCCAACGGCACTCCGACACCACCGGAAGAAAGGGCGAGGGAGCCCCTCTCCTTCTTCTTGCTTGGCCTCCCCTAGATGGGAGGAGGATTTCCCCTCTGGTCCTTGGCCGCCATGACTCCCGGAGGGCAGGAGCCCGCCCCCGCGCGCGCGCGCGTTCCTATTTTTTGGTCTTTCAATGTTTCTTATATTCCCGGAGATTCATAACTCCGATTGGGCTGAAATCTTAACACGGTTTTTATCCGGATATTATCTTCCTTGCTGCGAAAGAAGGGACCCAACAACTTACATGGTGGCCACAAGCCTGCCTGGCGTGCCCTAGAGTAGAGGGCACGCCGTGTGAGATTGTGGGCCGTTCGAGCATTATATTGCGTTGATTCTTTTTCCCAAAAAATCACATATATTTCAGAAAAAATTTCCTAAAATTTTATCGCATTTGGACTTCGTTTGGTATGAATTTTCTGCGAAACAAGATACATGCCGCAAACAGGAAATGACATTGGGCACTGGATTAATATGTTAGTTCAAGAAAATCATATAAATTATTTTCAAAAGTATGTGAAAATAATAAAATATTGGCACTAAACAATAAAAAAATTAGATATGACGAAGACGTATCCCATACCTGCTTGCCACAAACCACGCACTCAGCACACGACTGGCCATCTTCCAGATGCTGCCGATGCAAACCACAATCTGCGTCCACTCCTAGACAACCTCCCAAGCTCCGCGTGGCGCTGGAGCAAACGCCGTCGCAACGTCGGAGCCCGAGGATACAAGTCCACCACGAGGATGCCACCGTCGACATGCCATCCTTACTTGAACACACTGGTTTCCAAATCAAACTCCAACACGGATCGCCTCATCGGGGAAGGGTCTGGATATTCTTTATTCGGCGTCGGCATCGTTATCGCCGAAGCTAAAACGATGAACAACCTAAAAACATATAAGCTACCAATACCTAAAACAATCCACTTCAACTAAAGCCGTCGGCGGAGGAGAGCTGCCGGAGGACGGCGGAAGGAAGGAAGCTCCATGGCGGAGGCAAGATCGCCTTTCTTCCATCCGCTGGAAGAAAGAAAACGATAAGCACACTCGTATCCGTACGTTGCTCGCTCCCGGTTTTTTCCCGATCAACTTGAGCTACAAGTCTACTCAAACAAGTCAGGTATACTATTAAGGTACTTTTTTTTTGCATGGTATTAAGGTACTTATTCGGTACGAACTATAACTGGTGTACCGTGTACTCATGTAGGAGTATTTTCAAAACGGATTCTGTCGTCGTTGTCTACTTGTACAAGAAGAAAGTAAACCATGCATGCACGTCTACTCCCGTGAATGGATATATAACGGCAGATGCATGGAAATCTCCTTAATAGTTCCAGATTTTATAGCCGAAACACCAACGCCCTCGGCCCTCCTGCCTCGATCTCTGCCATGGAAAACTTCCCATTGCTCTCCCGCCTTCCCTCCATGGAGAACATCGACCTCTCCTCGTTCAAGAAGCGGTTGAACGCCGATCTCTCCTCGGCGAAGCGGTACCTGCGCTGGAAGTGGCTGAGGCTGTCGAGGAGGCGGTTCCTGGCGCGCAATGTCGAGGGCGCGCCGCCGGGTCTGAAGGCGGACTTCGCGAGCATGCTCGAGGACGAGGAGGGCGCGGACGTCACGTTCCTCGTCGGCGACCGGCAGTTCCGCGCGTACAGGCGCGTGCTCACCGCGGGGTCGCCGGTGCTCGAGGCGGAGCTCGTCGGCCAGATGCAGGAGCTGGAGACCTCCGCGGAGCTCGTCAAGATCGACGGCATGGAGCCGGCCATCTTCGAGGCCCTCCTCCACTACGCCTGCACGGGCGCGCTGCCGGATAGCGTCGACGGCAACGAGCCGCTGCAGCGCCTGCTGGTCGCCGCGGACCGGTACGGGATGCACAACCTGATGGCCATGTGCGAGTGGAAGCTGTGCAAGAGCATCGACGCGCAGACCGTCCCGACGACGCTGGCATTGGCCGAGAAACACCACCGCGCGAAGCTCGAGGATGCTTGCATCAGATTCGAGTCCTCCAAGAGTGTGCTCGCCGCCATCAGGGAACACCAGCTGCCGTCACGGGTACCAGCAATTTCTCTCGTACCGTCGTGTTTGATTCCGATCTATCTATTGCTAATTTTCTGCAGTCTCCATCTGATTGATTGTTTCCTTTGCTCGCGATTCGATGGATGCAGGTGATAGGGACCATGGCCCGGTTGGGGACGCGCGTCCAAGGGAGGCTAACGCTGTTGGGGACGAAGGCGACCTCGTTGTTTCGCCATGCGAGGAACAGCCAGGCCTGCCGGGACACCGTGCTGTTTGTCTCCTCGTGGGGCCTTCTCCTATACCTATCCATCAAAATGGAGCACATCATAGAGGAGGCTATCCAACCTGAGCAAGAGTCTTGGCTCGACAACTTCCAACAGATGCAGTCTTCCATCTCTCGGGTCTCCTGGATCTGCCGGCTCGCTTTCCTTGAGCGCAACCTCCAAGAGTTCCAAGAATCCGCATGGCTCAACTCGGATATATGATTTGAATGACCCAGCTCATCTGCTAGTTCCTGTAAATTTTCGTTCCTCCCTTCGTTCCTAGCACAACTCAGCATGCATCCATCAAGGAGGTTGAGTAATATACTACGCAATTACCAATTTTGATTTAGGGCAACTTTTTTCTTACTACTTTGAACTGTTTTTAATTAGTGCTAAACTTCTACTACCTCCGTCTAGGTGGATAAGTCATTCGCATAGTTCTAGGTCGACAATTTAACTATCTAAATATGTATTATATGTGACAAAAAATATATATTTAGAAACTACATCCGTGTAGAAATCTTGTGATATACTTTTCATGACATATAACACATATTTAATTCCTCAAATCGATGACCTAGAACTACGCGAATGACTTATTCGCCGAGATGGAGGTAGTAGTATATTTTTTTTTCATAACTAGCTAGACGCTGTTGTGGTGCCCACAGAACCCTATCCACGGGAAGGTGGGGTACGTCGACCCAAAAACTATATATGCGATGGCCTTGTCTCCTCCCACACACACTCTATAATGGTTGGCTCATTCACTGATATCGACATTGTATTCTTTTCCGCGTGAAATCCATGACTTGGCCTTCTGCCCAGAATCAGGCGGCTCCGTGGATATCTTGGTTCGAAGTTCTGCTATAAGGGTGATACGCTCAAGGTTTGATTTAAGGTCGGACTGATAGTCGAAGCTGCGGCGGTGGCGCGCGGTCGTCTCCCTGGTGGTGGAGCACCGGTCGAGAGCCCATGCCCCCGCTAGGTCGGGGTATTGATGATGATCTTGTTTTTCTTATCATGAGCATTGTTATGGTAATAAAGTTGCTATCAATAATGAGAACACATTGTTATCGGAAGAGAAAAGTCCATAGTTAAACCCCGACTGACCAATCGGTTTGATTTACAATCCTAATCTTCGAAACCGGTCTTATTGCATCCTCCACTTACCACAAAGTTGAAAAGACAACCATGGTATCGTTTTTGGGCTGGTCAACCGGTGTTGATCAAAGTCAAAATTGACTTGGCGCTGACTTAGTAGCCAACTCACAGTCGCATCTAAACATACCCCTCTCTCTGTTCATTTTCTTACCAAGCC